CGCCGCCGCCGCCGCCGCCGCCTGCTCGCTTCCTCCTGCTTCTCAGCCCCGGGTGCTGAGGCTCCGGTCTATAAATAGCAGGTTACAGCTCCTGCTCGGCGCGCACACGCTCCGGAGCGAACGCAGGAAAGTCAGGCTAAAAGTGTCTGCTGCTGCTGCCGCCCCCCACTCCGCCTCCGGGAGAGGTAATTACCCGCCCGGGATCCGAGGGCTCGGTGGGGATTTTTGCAGGGTGGTGTGGGTGATGGTGGGTGATTCGGGAGGCGTTGGAGCGGGTCTGAGCGCGCGGGGGCACGTCCTGGCGGAGGAAGCTGTCTGTTTTGCATTAAGTTTCCCAGTCTCGCAGCCCCGATAGCTCCTCCAGCCCTGTCGCCTCCGGGGTGGGTGAGCTGTCTCTCCTCGGTGGTCGGGGTACCCCTGTCACCGCGCTTGCCCTGCTGCCGAGCGCCCCTCGGCCCGGCGAGCGCGCGTGTTTACCCTCTCGCTCACACTCACACTCTCTGGGCCCGGGGTAACTGAGCTCTGGCTTCGCTGACTTTCCAGGTCTGCGCCCACCTGCGCAGTCCCTTTAGAGAGGCCGTGGTGGCCCCGGGGTTCTCTCTCATCCCCATCCCGGCCGCGCCACGCTGCCGCCGCCAGCCTCAGGAGAAGTCGGCTTTAAGGCAAGGGGTGGGGTGGGGGTGGGAGCGAGGGTGACTGGTACTAAGGTTTCAGTTGCCCCATGTCCTGGGTTTTCCTAAAGAGCCCCTCTCCATGACCACCCCCACCCGACCCCCAGCAACTCATTCCGGCAGAGAAGCCCGTCACGTCTCCTCTTGGCCGAGGAGAATCCCTTGTCCTACCCCAACGAGGTCTCGCTGAAAGGGGTTAGAAAGCGAGGGCCTGGGGTGAAGGCACGGGGAGCTAGGGTGGTGGTGGAGGAGTCATTGTTTGGAGTCCGAAAACTGCGCAGCGGGCTCCGCAACCTCTCGCGCCCCCCTGGCAGGGAGGGCCCAGGCGGAAGGGTGTCTAGGAGCCAGGGCTGGTTCCTAGGCGGACTTTCAGGCTTGTAGCTGGGAGGAAGATGAGGATGCTGGAGCTACACATACCTGTTTTTGCCCCTCCCTACGCCTCTGAAATCTCCTCCCTTTTGAGTGGTGGTTTCTGCCCACCGAGGACACGGTGGAGAGGGACCCGCAGTTTCTGTCTGGGGACAGTAGGTTTTATGAGGGTGAGGATGTGCATATTGATTAGGTTGTTGCTGCTCCTGCACAAAACTTACTGGAAAAACCCGGGAGGATTTTCTATTACTCCTGTTGTTGTTGTTGTTGTTGTTGTTTAATGGTGCAGATTCGCTCCTTTGCCTCTTTTTTTTTTTTTTTCTTCTTCTCTGGAACCAGGTTTCCCCCGCCCCCTCTTTCTGAGATGTGTTATTTGAGGTCATTACATTTTATGTCTCCAGGTGTTACAGTTTGCATATCTCCTTCCTCTCTGTGACAGAACTTGTTTATAAAGGTGTGAGTTTATAAATCAGTGAAAGCCCAGAAGACAGAGGATAAATTCATCTCTTTTCCCTTCAAGATGGGCACTAGATAGCCCTTTCATTGGTGTAAAACTGCATTTCAAAGACCTTGCTTGTAACAGGAATTTTCTTAACGGGTCCATAGTAAACTGACTTACTGCTAAAGCAGCATATGAGGTACAAGGAATCACCAAGATCGCAGCTGGCTGACGGTGTGCAAGAAGTTGAGTAAAAAGGGGACTGGGCAAGTGGGCTTTGTCTCACTTAGTAGACAGAGAAACACATTGTCTTGTGTTCCTTTTCCATATACTCCAGTAAAACATTGATAATAAGTCAGAGTAAATGATCAATGGCTCTGTGATAAGTACACGGGTGTTAAAAATTAAACCTCTTACATTTATAGCAATGTAAAATGTTACTGCAATGGAATGCTTTTTCAGCATATTTCTTTAAAATGTGATATAGAAGATTGTCCTTGAAAGGTTATGAAATTTACATGTGAAGAGAGTCTAAATGCTCAGTGTCATTAAGAAATATGCTGCTGATTGAAATATGGGTCTTATTTTGGAAGAATATTCTCTTTGATTAGGCAAATCAGTATTATTTGTGATAAACTAATGACCAGTTAGAATGCACATATTTATAACTGTGTTTTGCTTTTGATCTTTCCATAAAGCATAAGAAAACACAGATCAAGTTTGGTCTTGTCCCCCTGTTGTTCAAAGAAGCACATAGTCAAAGTTATAGGCAGAAAATACTTTTGAAATGTTGGATTTGATCTTTACTTTGGGAGTACCAATTGACTGAATGACTTCCTTTATCATAAGATTTTTGTGAAAAGACTCATAAACTAATCTGTTAAATTTGATTGTAGAACAATGCTATTATATTTTAGGTGCATGAAATGGAAACTCATTAAGCTTGGGGTAAAAACCAGATATTTGTTTTAAATTGTGCAAGTTGAGAGTAATTCATTTCTTTTCTGAGATTTGGGAGTTTCTTTTAGTACAAGTAGTGTAAGTCCCCACATGGGTAACAGAGTGAACTTTTACTACTTTGAGGTAAAACCCAAGAGAGCAATTCTCCTAAAGACACAGAAAAAAATGCAAACGGATGTCGTATCTCTTAGCAACCAAGTGGATGTCAGTTTCCAGGTAAGTATCCGACATCTGAGAATACAAAGTTAAAAAAATTATGAAATCATAATTAGTGAGTGAAATGCTTACTGATTATCTGTTACATTTTCTTATTTCACAGTGTGCAATCCCAGCCAGTACTAATATTAGACATACAAATATCATAATTTTTGTAATCTTTGTGGAATAAGTTGTCTTTCATAACCATGGGTATTCTAATAGAAATGTTCTGTTTTAAATAATCTCAAGTTAAGTGTTAACATTCAGTTCAAAGCTGTGTCTTTCTCTTCTGTATTTTCTATTCTAATTTTTCAGCATTTCCTATCTTTCTAAAGCCCTAGGGAATTTGCTTCATAGGCCATTTTGTTACTTTTTTTTTATGTTGAGATAGAAATTATTGATTATAGACCTCCTTAGGACACACTCATACATACTTCCATATTTGGGCTTAATAAATGAGACTATTAGATAAATAATTTCAGCTTAAACATTTATTTTTAGGTAAATCCAAATGATGATGCTACAATCGCATTTTTTGTGTGTGTGCAAATACACAGTGTTTGTTTTCCAAAACTTTAAATGCAGTATATATATCTAGAAAACACACTAAGATGTGTGAGAAAATTCTCTGAGTCTTCAGAGTCTCAGGCACAGTTGTCATTTGAATCAAGACTTGTTAGTTCCTTCACTTTATACATTTTCACTACCTTGTAAATTAATAGGAGAATTTTAAAAATGTTTATGGAGTTTTATGGTAATATAACTATAATATAATATAATATAATATAATATAGTAACTATGTTGTGTATATATCTGCAATTGCAGTGGTTTTTCTTATATCAGGCATAGTTGTAACCACTAACTTACTTCCTGGAATTATCTTGTTATAGATGATATACCATAAGGCCAGTGGAATATCTAGGAGTTACAATTTTAGATTTTTTTACTCTCATTTTACTAAACATTGAGATGTCATGATAGATGTAATCCCAACATAGTGTGAAGAGTTGGATTTCAATATAATATGTGTTCTTAAATCATATTTTCCAAACTGAGTTTCTTAAATTGCGATGTTTAGAGTAAATCTTTCTTCTGCCTTGGGCAGCCTTATCAACTAGGTGTCTTGATTATGTGATGAAGGCCTCAAAATAGCCTTAAGAGCCTCAAAGTAGCCTTAATAGAACTAAGTGAAATAGACTTGGCAGTAGTCATTTGGTTAAGCTGATTAAAGGAGATCCTGAGAAGTTTTCTAGATCATGTGGCTTTGATCAAAGATTCCTTTGGGAATTATCTAAATTAGTGATTTCAAGGGGATGGAGGTAACCCTTCCCTTAAAGGAAAAATTCTTTCTCCTTCCCTCCTTCTTTCTCTCGCTTTCTCCCTTCTTTGTTTCTTTACATGCATTTGTCTATCATCTATCTATTTTTCCATGCCTGTCTGGTTATTAAAATGAAACAATGCAACAGCCTAATGCTGAAATCACTGAATGACGTTCTCTATTGTCCACATTTCCAAGGATGGAAAAGTTTATAGGATAT